CTGCAGCGGAGTTTAGGTCCAGACACTGCTAGTGACGTCAGACTGAACAACCGGATAGAAGACGACAACATTTAGGTGGGTGCTAAGTAACGTGATTGCATAAAACCAAAACATATAAAACAATCCAAAGTTTCAGCACTGCTGGACTTTCTCACTTTTAAGTGAGACTCAGTTATGTTGGGGAACGAGAACTAAATCGTTGACTTCACATGGTTTGCGTTGACTTTCACAGAAAAAAATGAGTCTTCATCACCACAGAAAGCTGCTTTAGAGCCGAGCCACTCATATTTCTGATAGAATAAAACTGTGACTTTCACTAACAAAGCAGGCTGTCAGAGGGAGGGGGACAATAGCTGCCTAGTACAAGACGCATACAGCGCATGCCACAGGCAGTTACGTTTTCCGGCAACGCAGAGCAGGTTTCAGCTTTTAACACACATATTTTAGAAATCCCCATAAATTCCTAACAGAAAAGTTAGCCTGTATAGTGAAATTCTATCAACTTTCCTGCAGCTGAAGTAGTGTACACTCGAAACCACCCAAACAGAACAGTTATCAGAATACTTTAATAATTCTTAAGGAAATTATGTTGGTTACAAGAAGAATAAAAGAATAAAAACAATAAGAATAAACCAAAATACCTATTAAGCTGGAAGACAATCAGAGTGAGTATATTTCAGGAGGTTTTGAGATTCAGGCTACGTCCACACTAGCCCGGATAGAATTGAAAATGGCGTTTTCATCTGAAAACACTCCGCGTCCACACTAGCGTTTTCAGTCATTTTCACAGAGTTGCGTGCCTACATTGAAATGGCTGAAAACGCTTACGTTCCAGTACTGCAGATGCGTGAAGCGCAACAAGATTCGACCTGCCTCATTTCTGTCTGCTACTTATTTACTTTCCGGCTCTTTGAAACGTTGCGGCAAAATGTTGAGGAAAAGCACCGAGTTTTTTAAATGGACTAACAATGAGGTGGAGTTGTTGCTGCGGGTAACACAAAAGCATAAAGTTGCAACTGCGAGTGAGAGTTAAAAGATTTGAAGAAAAGTTATCTGGAGCATGTACAGACTGATATTAATCTTTAATAGGGCTTGAGAGCAAACAAAACAACAATGCCCTACACTATCTTAGTTTAATTGGTCACATGACTGCATCACATGACTAACATGCTCATCATTTTAGAAAGTCTCCATTTTGGCTGTCCACACTGCGACGCGAAAGCACCGTTTTCAAATGTATGTGTTTTTGAGAGTGTTTCCAAAACGCTGCGTTTTCCATGAGCCCAAACGCTGTCTCAGTGTGGACAGGAGGCCAAAACGGAGAGAAAACTAAATGCATTAGTGTGGACGTATCCTGAGACAGGATTTCAAAGTGGAGAGAGAGAGAGAGCAAAGCTTTCCACTTCCAGGGGTTTGTTTTTGTGATACTATCCCCACTGAGGAAATGTGGCCCTTAGTGACATTTTAAGCCTTTTGGCAGTGATCTTTTGTGTGTGAGTGCATGTTTTTAAGTGTTTTTCAACTGGACATGACAAGTAAGGGTTAGATTTGATTGAGAATAAGACTATGACATTGCACACATAACTAGGCCCTTAGAGATACTCTGCTTTATCATGAGAGACACTCAGGAAGGCACCATAATTTGCTAAATAACCATCAAGCTGTGTTAAAGGAGACTTCAAACTAGTGGCTGAGACCACAAACCCATTAGGAACATGTGGTCATAAGTTGTGTGAGCAGTAAGATCATTTTCTCACAGACTTCTGCACAATCACACATCTTTTTATAAATCAGCCAACAGATTCACCACCTGCTTCCTGTAAGGGGTTTATAAAAATAAACTTTTACTTTACTTACTTTAGGTTTAAAAATTTCTGCATCGTCTTCCCTCTTTTGATGCTCAGAGCATGTCCACATTTGATACATAGTCCATGTAGTTTACTCAGTGTGCCACTTCTGGCTCAGACCTACTCGGCTACTTACACTCATATATGCTGTTTAAACAAACACACACACAGTCATACTCTTCCGTCTTACCTTTTCAGCTCAGTAATGAGCAGCACGGTACATGGGATTCCCAGAGTCATCAGTGACAGCGAGTTGACAACAGGTTTCACAAAGGCCAGCCCCGTGGTGATCCCTGATAAGATGCCGATGACCACTTTGAATCTCGACCTAGATGGATTAATGAACAAAACAGACAGATATTGCTGCAATACTCCATGAACATGATTGTAAGATACAGAGGGAGTGTTTGGATGACTCAGATGTGCTCCAGAAATTATTATGACCCACTTAAGGTGCACATAACAAACACGCTCAGCTCTAATCAAAAGGCTGGGCAAAACAAGTAGCAGCCTGAAGTGAGAGCAAGCAGCTGTGACAGCTTGGTGACAATGCAAGGAGAAGTAAAGACATGTGATGCAGCTTTTACTGGTGTCAGCTATCTTAGAAAGGACTATTATTAAACAGGAGTGTCACAGCAGCTGAGATATCATGTGACAACAGTGAGCTAAATGTACTAAATGCATATGCTACATATTTGACCATGTGGAGAAAAAAAATGTTTGCCCTGCCTTGCACGGGACAAACCTACACTGTATCTGCTTTAGTGTTTATTCTTAATTATTGCCACTACCATCAGATGCCACCAGCTGTGAGTAATTCCAGTCAGAGCTAAACACTTTTAGCTGCTTGAATGATAATTAAGAGTTAAGAGCATGAAGGATAGGCCTCAGGCCTGATTACTGGTAGAGCTTCTGAATTAAGAAATCACTTAAACAGAACCTGTCTGACAAAATGAAGTACTGGTAGGCTAAACAAGCTCAAAAGCAGCAGGACAATAATCTAAAACACACCAGCAAGTTCACCTCTGCATGTCTCAAACAACCCCAAAATGAAGGTTTTGGAGTGGCCTAGACAAGGGCTGCACCTTAAATCTGATTGAGTTGCTTTGACATGACCTTAAACCATGCTCGAAAATCCTCCAGTGTGACTGAATTAAAACAATTCTGCAAAGACGAGAGGGCCAAAATTCCTCCAAAGTGATGTAAAAGACTGTAACTTTGTTTGATGATGGGAAACATTTTATTGTGCCAAATATTGCAGAAAAAGAAAACCCAATTAGGAAAGGAGTAAATAGTTTTTCACAGGACTACATATCTACACATGCACATAGTTTAAGCTCTTTTTTTACAATAATAATAATAATAAATAATAATAATAGTTGTTGTTATCAACATACCGATCCCTCCTGAATATCCTGGGTAAATACCTCTTTGGAAACCACATGGCTATGGCACACATGAGCACCCATAATATGGCTAGCTCGTCCAGCATTTGGCCAAGAAAGCTGAGGGTGGCATGAAAATAAGTCGATCCAATACCTTGGAGAAAGGAAGAGACACAGAAGGACAGTGATAGATGTTTAAGTTTTGTATTCAAAGGGCAGGATAAATGAGACAGTCTGTGTTTTGTTACGTGCTCCCTCTCTCTTTTATAACATCATAACATAACTGAGAATAGCAAACGTAGAGTTAAAATATTCCCCCTCTAAAACGACGTGTTCAAAACAATAACCGAAAAACGGAGCACAGTTGGAACGCCACAATCATCACACATCAAACAGGACCGGCTGTTATCTACGATGGGAACTTTGAAAGCCGTTTTCAAGCTGCTAAACATGTGGGTTTCAAGTTATTGTGCAAATGTTTGCCAAATGTTTTATGAGGAAAGGCAGTCATTGTGTAACAGTGAATGTAAAGGCCTCTTTTGTTGGCCTTTAATTTGCAAAGTTATTTAGAAATGAAGCCTTGAAATGCTGCAGAGACATGCAGCAGTCACTTTCCCCTCCTTGTTTATCACGGTAGAACAGACTTTTTATTATCAGGTGCAACATTTCAGCAGACTTCTTATCAAATGTTGCTCCCACTCAGTTGTTACTAATTGTGAAAACCTGCCATGGTTCTCAACCTAGGCATGAGAATGAGCCATTCAACAAAAGACTTAAAGAAGCATTCATGTAAATGAATCAGCAGCTACTTCATAATCAGTCAAGCAAAGAAAAAAATGGCTAACTGAGGAGTGTTAGTTGGATATAACAGATATTTGCATAAAGATGAAATGGTTAAAAAAAGCAAAAATAGCTTTTTTTTAAGACTGGTCCTTTTTTCCATTAAAACTAAAAGTAGAATCCAGGTTCTTTGTGACTTGACAGGATATGAATATGTTGCCTTCAGCTCAGTGAGGGGTAGGGCTGTGCGATATGACCAAAATCTCATATCCCGATATAAGAATTCTATCGTCCGATAACGATATAAATCACAAAAATGTAACATTTTCTGTCAATTCTGTGAATCTCGGGCAGCTCGTCTTGCGGGAAGTGTTTTCAGCTGTGCGTCATGTAGCTGGAGTCGAGTGTTTTAACCTAAGTATGAAACTATACATTTTTAGACACAAGTTGTAACGGCCGCCGTTTTCTTTGTGAGTATTTATTACACGGCGTGCTGCGGGGAAAAGCCTGTTCTAACGTTTGAGTCTAAGGTCTATTTATTAGCACCTGACGGCTCTTTTTTAATACTCATCTGTAAATAATCTGCTCTTTCACGTGATTCAGTTTATTTTGAAAAGTCTCAACAGGATCTTGAGCTTTATTGTGAAAGGTTTATGTGGAACATAAACAAGCGGACACACGATGGTGTTACCGTCCTTGTTGCTAACCACAAAGCATAAAAACAGGCGCTTGTCCGTCAGTAGTGTGGTTATATAAAATATAAGAGAAAGAGAGAACTTTAAGAAATTAATATAGCCACTACAGTGACCATCAGAACAATGAAAAAATATTGCCGTAAACAGTTTATTTTGCGACACCACGAAACAAACGATAGCGTAAAATGAATCGAACAGCCCTAGTGAGGAGTGTAATTTCTTAATTCAAAGCATTAATTTACACGTTCTTATTTTTGATCTGCTGACAGGTCAAAATATGGATGCAAAGTAGCCAAACTATATTTGCACACACTGCTGAGGCTAAGGTGAAATAAAAAGGAGCTGGATGTTGTTTTTGAACTAGAAACTATAGGCTTGCTTTTCTATTCGAGTCAAAGTTCATCATAACTGCTGAAACAGAGGAAATGGCATGAAACCATGTGACCCGTTGCTGGCACTGGCTTTGTTTTAAAAAGCCTCCAGAATCAAAGAAAAGAAAATGGATGCAGTCCAAGATACACAGATAAGGATTTATGGTATGGCAACATGTATGGACCAAGAATGTTCAACTGTCTGAGAGGCTCCAACAAAGCCAGGAGACTGCGTTTATTTCCCTTTACATTGGACCACACATGGGCCACAGAGGAAAACACCCAGCTCAAGTTCTTTAAATCTGACAGTTATGCAAATCTTTTTCAACTACTTTTTTTTTCCGGACACCCACCAAGGTCACCTCCTTGGAACAGAGGTGGGGTTGCTCTCAGGTTATCTTTGCTGACAGGGCAATTCAAGCGTTTGCAAAACGGCATCGATGGGGAAAGGCTCTCTATTGAACTGTATAGATGAAGAAGCACCATTAAAGGCCTAAATATTGAATGGGACATAATGAATTCAAAATCAATCTAAAGATGGTGATAGAGGCCACAGCTGAGAAACTGTGCACCCCAACAGTGCCACTGCAGTACAAGTGTATACAGATCACTCCTTTGGTCTAAAACCTGGAAACTAGTTCAAATTAAATGTCCATCGTAACTGCCTAGAGACCAAGTCGACATACTTTAACCTTCTGGTTTGTACTGGTTAACAGTGCAAACCCCTCAGATACTTTGCTTACTCTCATAAAAAATAAAGGAAAAAAAAAATTTTTTTTTGCTGTGAATAAAGTCCTACAGGAATACACAATTCTTTTTGAAATTGGTTTGTGTAAGGACTATTTACTCAGTCCCTTTACTTACACATTCATTTGACCCGTTTTGACAGCAGTAAAAATACCTCAAATGGCCTTATTTACCTTCAAATTTGATAACTTTTGGCATCTGCACAATGATAGTAACGATGATCAACTCAGTTCAAATATATTTAGATGAATATGGCTGTTACGTTTTTGTGTCTTGGGTAAAACTTGACATGAGTGTGAGATATTGGATATTTTTTTCCATAAACAAATGTTGTAAAACCTAAACAAAAATTAATAAACAAAAATAACAAAACACTGTCTACTCTCTAATACACAAAGTAAGGATTAGGCATACATTTATAAATGCCAAATACTATATGTATACTATGAAGAAGGTGAATATGAAGAGTATGTTAGGGTTAACAACTTAGCACTTAATCTAATGCAATCTGATGTAGCAGCCCAGCTATAAAGGCCTCCTTTATGAATCCTATAATGATCCTTTTCTTTTTACAGTCATAGCAGTGTTAGTGGCACTTATGTACTCAACTGAAATATGCTGATGTGCTTTTCTAGTGAGTCTCCTTATGTATGCAAAAAGTGCAGTGCACTACCTCTATCAACAAACCCACATATAAAGCCAAAAAATGGCAACGATCAAACAAGGAGCCCTGCAACAGATGGTCAGGCCCCCACGCAGATCCTTGATCTCAACATCTCAGAGTTTGAGATTAAGGAAGAGACAGACTAAACAACAGAAAACTGGCAAATCTTCCCAAGATGCCTGACAACTGGTGATCTGTATGACATCCACTATTTTATTTATTTATTTGAAGCCTCCCTATCTGACGCTTGCTTTATGTACCACGTGTATAGATGAGAAATGAAAAATAAATAAATAAAAATGAAGGATTAAGAGAGGTCAGCAGCCAACTTACCGACCACAACTAGCAGTATCCATATGAGGTAAATCCCACTGTTGAAATGTTTTGCATATTGGCGGAACAGGCACATTAGTATCGGCGGCAAAACAAAAAACAAAATGTTGCTGATCTGAAATGATAAACAACAGAAAAGTCTTTGTCACTGATCCCGCAGCAAAGAGCCAGCAGTGCCCGTCAAAAGTTGATCAGTGTGCGGGCCTCGGTGGCTGTGCAGAAACTGGCATGCAAAACCTGTAAACTGCTACTAACATTACATATCATGATGCTGAAGCTGAAAAGCAGCCAGACTGCTCAGCTAAGCAGTCGTTAACCTGGGAAGTAAATGGTAAATGACCTGTATTTGTATAGCGCAAAGAAGCCATTAAACTACAAAAGAAAGAAAGGAAAGGGGAGTAAAACAAAACAAGCAGTGCAACGGAGACAACAGCAAGAAGAGGAAATGCAGAAAGGCTTTGACTGTAAACAAAACTGTAATGTGCAAAATAGCGAGAAAAACAACAACAACAAGCCCCATTCTCAGAACCGACCGTGTTGTAAAACTCAGCGATGCTGGGGTAAATAAGGTAATTGCCTTCACACCAGTCCACCTCGGAGCTACCAGCCTGCAACTGGTCCCAAAACATCACATTAACGTTACTCATGTCTGAACTAGTTCTGTCGGATGGACAGCGCCGAGCAGACAGCACATAAAACAACCGAGGGGGGGAAAGTCGCTATCCGTCGGCTCGCTGGCTGCACGCTAGATCCTAACGTCCGAGTCGTGGCACGTATCGGCCACTCGAGCCTGTGACACACTGGGGAAATCGTTATGGAGCTGCATTTTGAGAACGTCCTTCTTCCACAAAGCCTCCTGCTCGTCGTGACGCTCTGCTTCGTCCACTGACAGCTGCTCAGTCCGCGACTCAAAGAGTGCTCAGGCTGCAAGAGAAGTCACTCCTGCCTGCTTCCTTCTTCGGTCAAACGTAGGTCAGGAAGGAAGAGTTTACTTATTTTTGTCACGGTAATTAAAAAAAAAAAAGAGTAGTGGGGGGGGGGAGATACTTAAAGTTTGTATGTTCAAGTCAGCAGTAGTCAAAGAATACTTTTTTCTTTCTTTCTTTCTTTCTTTCTTTCTTTCTTTTGTTTTTGCTGTCTCTAAAACAGAATTACAGTTAAGATCTCCAAATTTCGATTTTCTCGAGAATACTGAATGACAATAATACATTTCTACCCTTTTCCCTTCCATAAACAAATCGAGCTTTCCTTTTTTTCCTATTTTTTTTAATTTTGACTTATTTCTATCTGTTTTGTTTTTTATTAGCAACAAGCTTCCATACCAAACTGAACCAAATCCACAGCTTTATTGTTCTTTAAAAATAGACCAAAGTAAGAAAAACAAAATAAAAAATACAATAAAATAACTAGTGTTTTCATGATATGCTATATTTTCTATATCTGTATGTTTTTTGTGTAAATTTTATGTAATGTGCCTGGAAATTAGACGTTTTGCTAAAATGTAATGTTTACATGTTGTATTTTCATCTACTAGTGTCCATTCATATGCGCTGTCCCTGTTAAATAAATAAAAATAACAGAATACTAAAAAAAATGACATAAATATTACTTTATACATTTGGTGTGAAAGGTGGGTGATGTCTTTGTAAGACTTTAAAACTGATCTAAATCCAAAATGTACACACATAATTTACTCAGTCAAGCTATCAAAAGCTATGACTGAGTAAATTAGCAGGCCCTGTCCAACCTCTGTGCAATATGTTTGACACTCCTGGTCTATTCTGTCTGCTAAGTTTTGTGTGGGACAGCCCTATTATTGTGCACACTCATTAATAAATAGCTGGAAAAGAAACATGTGTAGTTGTAGCAGTAACCAGTGTGTTAAGTGGATGCGTTGTACAGGGAGATAGCCACAGGCAGGAAAGATTTCCTATGTTGTTCAGTGGTGCTTTTCGGTAATCTCAGTCTCTCACTGAACGAGCTCCTGTGACTGACCAGCATGTCATGGAGTGGGTGGGAGGTGTTATCCAACATTGTCTTTATCTTGGACAGCATCCGCTTCATCCAGCTCCATCCCCACAACATTACTGGCCTTACGAATTAGTTTATTGAGTCTGTTGGCATCTGCGACCCTCAGCCTGCTCCCC